ATGACGATGATAATAACGGAAACGATAATCTTGACAATGATGCTTATAGTTAATGATGAACAATGAGCGATCAGTGATATTTGTTTTATATATGACTTCTATTATCATATTAATTTTGTTATAAAAAAAATACAAAAAAACTTGTTTTAGGTTGTAAACACATCCACCCGCTTTATAAGTCCTCTTGAGATATTAACGTTGCGTACCGTGTAAAAACCTAAATAGAAGCCCTGGGCTTATTTTTCCAATTTTATATTTATTTATTTATTTATTTTTACGAAATTTGGCTTCTTTTCGAGATGGCCTTCTTTTTGTGGCTACTTTTAAAAAGTAAAGCGCTGTAATTTTGGGAATTACTAATATGAAATAATAAATAGAGCCACTGTAACATCGCTCTGTATCATGGAGTGTATTAACCGGCATTAAATCACCTTAACTATTGTGTAAACTGGCGTGTTTTAAATATATTTTGTTTCTTTGAAATTCATGTACAGTGTATGTACTGTACTATCACAAAAAGAAGCATGCTATCTTAAAAAGAAGCCCATGGGCTTCTTTTTTCATATTGGGTTTCTTTTCGAAACTACTTTTGCAAACTGAAGATGGGGCTTCAATTCGACATCTGCTTATTATCGAGATTACGCTCATTGGGCTTCTATTCGAGGTTTTACGGTATGTTATTACCGTACTCTTAATTGAGAGTTCAAAATATTCATTTATTCTTCATATTTTGTAATATTCCAAACTCATCGGTGAAATATTTAGTTTTCGTTCTTACACATTATTATTATTATTATTATTATTATTATTATTATTATTATTATTATTATAGTATTGATAAAACACAATATAATAAATTATGTGTACAATTACAGTTATAGAATTATCTAAATATTGGTGGGTTTTTGGAATCTCAATATAGAGCAATATCCATAATCATATTATTACAATTATTATATGCATAATTGCAATAGTATCCAGTATATTATTAATATATTTATGCAATTAAATTCCAAAACGTTATACATGTACACTACTGTACTAAGAACAGACTAATAGTTACATAATTTATATATTCACATTCAATCTATTATCTGCGATGTTTATTAACATAACATGAATAATTTCAATATTCGAGTTTTCATTAATTTATTTATTTATGTAATTATTTATTTAATTATTGTATTCCTATTGGATAGTGGGCTACATAGGATAAAATAATCTTGAGGTTTAAGAAGTACAATTTCCAGTCATGAAAAAAAGAAATTCTCGTATTTGCTATACAATTTACTATGTAATTACTATAATGTGTTTAAAAATATATATGTGGATATAGTTATTCGATGGTATACTAAATTATTTAAACCAAATATTAGCATTGCAATAGTTACTATTAGGTCATTATATATATACTATCATCACACATACGTCCGTATCGTTCTAACATCAAACATGGCGATGATACTTAGCATGTGAATTGTGTATAGCTCATTATAATATTGCATGGTAGTGTGCAGTTGCTCTTAACATGGACTGCAGAGTCGGTGCACCTTGTTTCCATACAGCTCGAAATAGGCATGGCATGCTGTTTTCGTATGCTGCAAATCAATTATGTTTTAGTATATATATAGTAATATCATGATATATATATATATATATATATATATATATATATATATAGACCTATATATCTGTAAAATATTTTGTTTTTGTTTTTACACATTATTATATTATATTGATAAAACACAATGTAATAAATTATGTGTACAGTTACACCATTAGTGGAATGAAGAATGAATAATTAATATAACATCAAATATAAACCTTAATGAAATATAATACCTCGGTAATAATAATAATAATAACAATAATAATAATAATAATAATAATAATAATAATAATCATCATCATCATAATAATATTAATAATAATAATATAATAATAATAATAGTAATAATAATAATAGCCAATATTGAAAATCACTGTTAACATTCGTAATGATAATAATTTCACCATAATCATATCCTTCGTCATCATCAAATATAATACCGCTATAATAATAATAATAATAATATTAATAATAATAATAATAATAATAACCAATATTGAAAATCACTGTTAACAGTCGTAATGATAATAATTTCACCATAATCATATCCTTCGTCATCATCGTAATCATTATCACTATGCGTAGCCATCTTCAAATTATATAGATGAACATCATTGTCACTATCATGATCAAAAGCACATCATCGTCGTCATCGTCAACATCATAATCGTCATAATCATTACACAATTATAAACAATCATTATCATCATTTACACCCCGATTCTTAATTAATTTGTTTGTGCCAAATTATTTTTAGAGTTGATCTCACGGGCCAAAGATAATCGCAGAGTTAAAAGCAATCGTTATACATCTGGGTGAAACTCTTAATGCTAAGATAGGTCCATTTGAAAGTGTTTTTTTTTTCCAATTGGGTTGCGGAAAATGTTTGTGTGTCCGTGTTCATCAGTTTAACAGTCGTTAGTCAACTTTGGTGGGTCGATTTATCAATTAAAAAAACAACAAAAAAAAAACGTTTTCCGTGTGTCCACAGTACGCTGTAAGACTAGCGAAATGAAATTTTATGAGCACTGTTTTTATTGGTACACGAACTTTCTATTACCCCAATAAAATAAAGAATGCTATTAAGGAATCACAGTCAACAGAGCAAAAAAAAAACAAAAACGCGTAACTTGGTGGGACTAAAGTCTGTGTACTAACTTGAAAAGAAGGCTATCAAAGAAACACAGTGATCAGAACAAAACACAAAGACATCGGCACAGAGTCCTGTATGTTATCTGCAGGACAATCGAAATATATTTTTATAAACACTGTTCTTTGGTTCATTATGTGAACTTAATTATGAATGTTATTGACGATAAAATCCAATAGACGCATTGCAAAATAGTATAAATTTTGTCGTGTTTACCTCTGATTTTTAAAAGTGGCCTTCTTCTACCATGGGCATCAGGACTCTGTACTCATTACAATTTTAACATTTCCATGATAAAGTTTTTACTTCCGCCTGCCTTGAGCTGCTGTGTAAAACTTAGCAGAACTAACAGGAGAAGGGCCTACCGATCTTGGAGTCTTTCGATAGTTCTGTTTCAAGGTTTAATTTTAGATCTGAGTGGAGTAACCCCTACATCATGACGCTTTTTTTTTTTTTTGGCTTGTTTGTAAGACACAGTGAAGAAGGGAACCATGGAAAGCACCCAGCGACCGATACATTTTTGGCGCTATTTATTCTATGATTATTGCCTATCATCTTGCTCATTTTCAATCCATCTCCAAGCACATTACTCATGGATTGCATTTTGGTCTCTACTTTATTCAAATATATTCATATAAATTTTAGTATGTTTTAAATATTTTTTTTATTATTATTTTGTGGTTGTTATAGGATTTTTCTTTTTATCAGGATTGTCACAATATCATTGTTATCTTTGTCATTGAATTGATTACTTGATACAAATGGTAATAATTATTATTTATAAGTTTGTCCACGTATGATCATTGTTTTTATCCTCCCCCTTTCCCTTCCTTCTCTTCACACAATTTACGTTCATGCTATCTATTTAATGAATATCTCATGATCATTCATTTGATTTTTTTTATAGATAAAACAAAGCAGTACCTGTGGGAAAGGAAGTAATCTTAGGACATGAATCAGGTCAAAGGGTTTGAGGCCTTATTACAAACATCTCGACTTCCTCATACAGTATCTCCAGCTTTCACTTTGAACTGTTTATTTATGCATGTCCCCCAATAACTTCCTTTTCTACCACCAATGCTGAGGAGCAGTAGCCATTAATTTGTAGATATCTGTCTCTGCTTATCAGAAGTCCTCTCGGAGTATGTATTCATTCATCTGAAAGAGCTGTTTGAGGCGCCAAATCAGACGTATATATATTATATTATATGTCGTCCTATATATATATATATATACTGTCTCTCTATATATATATATATATATATATATATATATATATATATATATATATATAGCATTATCACAGCGCAATTTAGCGTACAGTATATCTTTTTCTTGTACCACAATTTATATTTTTGTATCATATCATGCATGGCATATCAAATCATATCATATCATATCATCATATATCATATCATATTATACTATCATATATTATATCGTATCATAATAATCATATCATAATATTACATATAATATATCATAATATTACATTATATTGTGATATGATATTTTGGTCAGATTCCTCTTCTGTTACGTCTCATAAGAAATATCATTTTTAATAGATTTTTCGATTTAGTGTTTCTGAGGTTTTCAATATGCCTATGAACACACACACACACACACCCACACAAACAATCTGCCTCAGTTAGATACATTTATACGAATTGTTGTCTATCAACAGGTATATGGTGTTATGGTTATGATGCTATGCACCTCGAATTGAGGCAAATTACTTTGATTTTATATTGTCACCCTTTCTATGCAGCTAC